CTCACGTTTCCTGGGGTGGTCAGGGCATTTCTGGCTTCTCCGGGGGCATGGGTTGCATGCATTTCAGTCTTTTTCAGGACTAGTGCTACGCCAAAAAGAGGAGAGCCGAAGAGGCGTAGGAAGTTACAGGAGAGAATGGACCGTAGGGCCAGAGTGTCGGATGTATATGTGTATGTAGGAATGGACGAATACGTGCGGAGCCGTATAGAAGACTGGCTCCTATGCGGCCTCCTCGTGCGAGACTCCGGACAACCTTGGCGGTGCCTGGTCTGGTCTTGCTTATCTGCTTCGCCGAAAACGGATGAGTGAGCATGCTAATGCATGGGGTGTGTGTGCCCCTAGCCAGTGCGTCATGGGACGGATAGCTGAAATATATAATAGTATAGTATAGGTTTGTTATGCCTCCGGTAAACCGTTGAGTAGTGTATATATAGGTTCAGATAGTTTATTTTAGTTGCGCCTCCGGGAGACCGTTGATAACACCTTAGTAGTGTAAGTTGTATGGTGTACGAGTGCGTGAATGGATGACAGCTAGGTAAATCGGCTTGGCTCATTGGGATGTTTTATCGCTCAGTGTAGAATTGGTTTATAAATTGTGTCTTAAATCACGTTTCCGCGCCTCCCACTCCTTCGGTTGTATATTTAGCATGTTAGTGTCATGCACGCGGGTAGTTTTTTGTCGGTAAGAATACGACACTCCCCTAGGTACCGGGCCTAGGGGACCTATGAAAGTTTTCCACCCGACGGTATAAAAARAAAAAAAAAAGGGATAGGGACAGGCTACAACCAGAGATTTGTACCAGTACTGGCTACCAAACGTGGGGGACAAGGTTGTAGCCAAACAGGCTATCATTACGTATCTGTAGTACGTCTTCCGATAGAGAAAAGCGTGCGTCTGTAGAGAATCTACGTGTGACAAAAGGTACCTCGCGATGTAATTGCATTAATTTTTATTCATTCTTTTAGCTATTATCTCTGCTTATCATTATTTGTTCTATACTATTTTTTCCTTTTAAAAAAAAGCGTTCATTTTGCCCGGCTTTACTATGAATTTTCTGAGTTTTTATGCCGAGGCAAACTGGCTGCTCTGTACCACGTAAGACTGTCTTGATTTATTTATCTATCCTGCCCTATCTCACTAATTTCAGCATCAAAATCATAATCGAAATAACTATATTATTCTTTGATCATTTTCGGTCATATATATACATGATAAAAACAGGGCGATTACCGAACTGCATACCGACGCGAGCAAGTGTAAAAATGGAGTGATGATCTTGCTATAGAAAAAAACCGATAAGAACAAATTTCATCCTGCTTATTATTTATAGTAAGAAAACCTCCGAAATAGAACAACGATTCCACACTATCAGATACATATCTTACAGATGCTACTACACGATAGTTGAACAACACACGACCCTATGAAAATAACATGATAGAAAACGATGTACTTGTAAAAAGAAAAGGCAACACGAATCTCGTAATGGTACCAAAATGTCTGGAAATTAAAGTTATAAAAAAGGTTCACGACAATAGGCACTTCGGAGTAACGAAGATGGTGAAGACCATTGAAGATGAGTTCTTGATTCTCCGTTTAGAAGATAAAAAAAGAACGGATTAGTCACGGCAATTAAGTATTTATATAATCACGTTAAATAAATCAATAAGTATACAATATATAGACATAAGCGTTAACATAGGAATTATCAACGGTAGTTTGTCAAATATGTCAAAAGTTTTGAATGATAAAAACATCAAATTTGATATTTTCGAGAGAATAACTACGCTTATTAAACAGTGACAAACACTCAAGTCGATACGTAACGAGCCAAGGTTTATAATTCCGCAAAATTGACCAAAGAAGACAACAAGTTTAAGTTTATTCCTCAAGTGTGGCATATATCACAAACAGTATCACTCATCGGAATGTGAGCTGTAACTTAAAGCCGAGCCTGAACATCACAAAAGAACAGTGATTAATGGTAAATTATACTGGAATTGTTTACAAGCGGGTCATCGAATTTACACATGTAATAAGGAAAGCCGTTGCAGAAAGTGTAACGGCAGGCATCACGAGTTGTTGCATCCGGACGACATCGGAAGTGCATAGTGTGTGCATGTAAAGCTCAATCATTCACAATTACCCGCACTGCTGCTAACTGCAATGATGCTACTACTAAATAGCGATGGTAGGCCACACGAGTGCAGTGTTACTCCTACATTTTTGGGCTCTAAAGAGCAATTCGTAATAATTCGGCTCGCAAATCTTTCACAAATATCCAAACAAGACGTGGACGCACCGATATCTGGTATAAATTAGACTGAAACTAAAATTAGACAGGTGATCTCGTAGGCACCATGAAATCGCGAACGGAAAATTACGTGGTAAAATTAAAATTTTTACTGCTACCAATCGTAACGAATTGGTTACCATCCCAGCGAATTCCGCGAGAAGAATTATCTATTCCAGCAGGGATTCAACTGGCGGATCCCGACTTTCATCAGCCCGCGGATGTTGACGCGATTCTCGGGATCGAAATCTTTGCTTCATTATGGCGCTCGGGTCAGACTATTCGATTGAGTGAAGAGGTCTACTAGTGACACAAAAAACGGTATAATGATGGCTCATGATAAACATAGGAATTAAGCGTACTACGCAGAACATTAATTGCCACACCGCTACTATAGTTAGAGAAATTTTGGAAAATCGAGGAAGTAGCAGACAATATTTTATCAAACGAAGAAAGTTAAGTTGCCATTTAAGGAAGAAAATCATCAATTAGTTGATTCTTACACGAGTGCATTGCAAAAATTTCACGTGCAAGAACGGACATTATCGCGCCAGCCGATAATCAAAGGGAAATTATATTAATTTTCTATCAGAGTATGAAGAATTGAAACATATGACAAGGATAGAAGGGGGGGTGGTTCCGGCGAAGATTGATATCATGCGGTACAAAAACGTACGAAACTTTTTACTACCAAATTGCGAATAGTTTCCGACGCGTCTTTGAAAAAAGCAAAGGAAAAATCATTGAACAACGTTGTTAAGATAGAAGTAATTTTCATGCTACTTATACTAGTTATAAACAATATACATGGAGTATGTATGTAGAAATGCGCGCGGTAGCGATATCTATAGGTATAGAACGCGAACAGTGACTATAGTATGAACGATGACCACATATTATAAAGAAGCAGCTCAACCGCAGAGAACGTAAAATGACCAAGTATAGAGAGCCCGGAACACATGTTCTGCGTATCCGTCTATAGATATGTAATCCTCAAGAATGAACAATAAATAAAGATAAAGTAATAATCAGAAGAATCTGATAAAGTGACATGATGCTACATCTTCTCAAACCGGACTTCACATTTCCCAACGAACGTGTTAATAGTTGGCTCAATGATACATGAGAAGGATCTTTTCACACTTCTCGTTAAGATTTAAATCTCGCGCTACCGCGATTACCGTAGACTTCGCAAAAATGTATCGTTAAATAATAAAGGATTCGCGCAGCTGCAAATACCAAATTAACACTTTGGCGCTGACAGGAAAACGAGCACGTGAAAACGTACAGGTTAAATACGGTAACTTACGAAACCGCCTCCACGTCATTCTTGGCAACACGTAATTTATATTAACTCGCGAACGACAAATTTCATCGCTTTCCGAGAGCAACCATCGTCCTTAAAGAAGATTTTTCAGTAGATGATTTATTATTAATTAACCCAGAGCACGTACGGTGAGTAAAGCAAAACAAATCCGGGATGAACTAGCAAAGATAACAGCAGGGGGAGGTATACATTTAAGGCAATAAGTTTTTAATTGCACGGAGATTTTAAAGGATCTAGATACCTCTGACAACAACCATCGTGAGCTTAAATTCGACAGGCACTGTTAAAACAATAGACGTAAATTGGAATACGGCCACGGATAGAATACGTTATACAGTAAAGAACAAATGATCAAGCAAGGATCATCACTAAGCGCATTATATTATCTGAAATACCGCAATTGTTTGATCCGTTAGGATTATTAGGACCGGTAATAATTAACGCAAAAATTATAACGCAACGGTTATGGCAATTAAAATTAGCGTGGGACGAAGATGTCCTCTAGCCGACATGTATAAAATGTGACAAGCGTTTCGCCAAAATCTCCACACGACGCGCGTATATTTACGTCAAACGATGAGAAAAAATCACAAGGTACTATTAGGTAGCGCCACGCCAAATCTAAAGTAGATCAGCTTAAGACAATATGGATGCTAAGAACGTTCAGAACTTTGCGGCTCATTAATACTTTCGCGTATCTGAACGAAGATATATATATGATCCAACCGGAAATGTTCACTAGCGAAGGCAGCGAGAAGAAAGTTTGTAATTTACAAAGACCACTTTATGGACTGAAACAAACGGGTTGCAAATGGTATGAAAAATTAAATGCGTATAGCTATATAAAAAGTCTATTAGAAAAGTTTAGGATGCAAAAATTGTTAAATTAATCTGCTATTAAAAAAAAACATGAAATTAATGAAAACTAAAGAACCTCTCAGTCAAAAGATGAGATTTTAGAAATGAAAGGTAAACGTGTGGGGACGAAGGATGATGCGCGTCGGTTAGGCCTCAGCTGATGAATGTAAAC